CAAGAAATAGATGCTTAGTTGTTTATTTACTTAAATATATGTATCCATTCTTATATGCGTTTTTTTTCCAACAGTCATCATTCCTCTGTGGAACTCAGGCCTCTAGTAATTCTTTATTGAGAGGATATTTGACAGTACCCTTCCTAAGCAACCGCAGTTCAGCAATCTAAAACACATACACATGCATATATATGTGTGTGTGTGTTACATATGCATATATATGTGTGTGTTACATATGCATATATATATATATATATATATATATATATATATATATATATATATATATATATATATTACGTATGTATATATATATATGTATATAATCATATATAATTTTATATACATATATATAAATATATTTATTTATATATTCATATGTGTGTCTATGTGCGCATGTATTGATACATACGTATGTAATGTATATAATTCTATCTGGGCACTACTATTAACATTTCTCCATAATATACTCACAATCTTCATGGTGGTTATCCTGGGGAACACCAGGTATGGTACTGTATCATGGAAGGCTGGCTTATATATACCTTGTGCACAAATGAAAGGGGCGGAGCTTCCTTACTGAACGATCATAAGGCGGAGCTTCATCTTAGGAATTTCATTACCACTGGGCTATAGACGCTATTCAAAAGCGCCAACTTAACTAAGGCCCAGGTATGACAAAAATTAGGCAAAAATAAAGACATGCAAGGGGTTTCGCCCCCCTCCTTTCAATCTCCTACTTTTAATATTCATAGCTTTACCTTCTCCCCCATTCTTCTGTTGCTTCCCCTAATTTACCTGTTATTTTATATATCCTAATACTTTTGATCACTATTATTGCAATAATTCATTTTGCTATATATTAGTGAAAACAAAGTAAAGCGCTATCTTGCAAATACCACGTCTTTGAAAAGATGATAGTGCATATTAGTACATCTTCCCTTCTCCATTATAGCAAAGTATGCCCAAGGAAATCCACGACGTGAACTGAATTCCAAATTATATCCCGTAGCAGCTCAAACCAGTGCCGAAGGTAATCCGCATGTCTGCAGATGCCAACTTATCTCTCGTACTTTACATGACGATCTGACGAAGTCTTATGCACTTACGAATATTCATTTTCACTTTAAAGGCCAGGCCATGTCACAGTAGCTCTTTTCCGTTATTTTTTCATACGCAAATAGTCTAACTCTGTCACAATGTATACAAACATGACGTTCATGTAAACAAACAAGTTAAGTCCCACGAATCACCAGCATCCTCATATTTAGATAATTTTGATTTAGATGAATGATTTAGATTAATATTATGTAAAGGAGAATACTTTTTTGTATAAAGATACATTTAGTGATTATGGATTATGATTATGATTCACAATGAGTTTGTTGTTAAATGAGTGGTGCATGTAAATTTCCTTTTCTTCTTTGAGAATGCTGCTTTAAGAACCATAATTTTATTTACTACTACTTTAGGGGGAAGTTATCCATATACTACAACCTGCTTATGCCTACTTATGGAACGGTCTTCACAAGGTCACACTGAAGATTCTTTGTAAGCCCCCTACCAGCTGGATTTTCAGGTTTGAGAAACTGTTTTGCCAAATCCCTTTTCGCGCTAATGTATGCAGAAAATCTGAACATCCTTACAGTCAGATAATGTTGGTAATATTAGTGAATAACAATATCCATCTTGAAAAAGGGCATCTGCATGTTTTCTTCGGTGATGCATAGAGTGTCATGCTAAAATTGATAATTTTCTCCATTAGCTAGGAAAGCAGTAGGAAGGAGCAATTGGTTTCTAGTTTCCTAGTTTGGGAACATGCTTACCAGGTTTAGTAAATAGTAATTTTAGTTTCTTTCCATGGTGCTGGTACTGCGTCTCCTCTTAAGATTCACTTAGGAACGTACATCAGCAACTTTTGAAAACTTTCCTCATGAAATATTATCAGGTATGGAATATTGTCACTTCCTTCCTGCGCGAAAATGGCCTGTCTCAATATTCTGCTGCTTAACGGTGACCGTGTTCCTGCTCCGCCCTGAAGATGTTAAAGGGCGGTGTACGATTCCCCCGAGATGATCGCTGTCATTGATTAAGTATTTGACATTTTACTTCAGCTTTTTGTAATGGTTATACCGCCTGTTTTTCGGAGTAGGTGATAAAACGCACACTCTCCTTCCAGTGTTCTTGCACACTTGTCTCATATTTATGTTAAAGGCTTTCCAGTGTTAATCGAGGTGTTATGCTGTTTCCATGAAGTCTACTTAGCCTCCTTTAGCATATGGCTGGAATGTATTTCAACTGCTGTAATGCACCTTTTCTACCCCAGACGGCTTCTTGCCACTCATAAGAACACTACAGCAACTGGAATAGACGATAAGATCATCTGCTTTTGACAATGAACTCTGGGCGAGGGCAATCATCATCCTATAAAGCTCAGAAGACACGGCAAATATTGCAGTAGAAGGGGTTGCTCCTCATCGTCAACCTTATAACCTTATTGTGTGTGTGTGTGTGTGTATATGTGTGTATGTGCGTGTGTGTGTGTGTTTGTGTGTGTGTGTGTGTGTGTGTGTGCATATATATATATATATATATATATATATATATATATATATATATATATATATATAATATATATATATATATATATATATATATATATATATATATAATATAAATACATACATATATATATATATATATATATATATATATATATATATATATATATATATATATATATGTATGTATATATATATATATACATATATATGTATAACATATATAGCATATATATATATATATATATATATATATATATATATATATATATATATATATATATATATATATGTAATATACATGTATAGCATATATATATATATGTATATATATATATATATATATATATATATATATATATATATATATACATATATATTAAATATATATATATATATATATATATATATATATATATATATATATATATGTATATGTATTCATATATATATATATATATATATATATATATATATATCAATATATACACACACACATATATATATCATATATCATAAATATATATAATATATGTATATATTATATATATATATATATATATATATATATATATATATATATATATATATATATATATATATATATATAGCATATATATATATACATATATATATATCATATATATATAAATATATATATATATATATATATATATATATATATATATATATATATATATCATAGATATATATATATGTGTGTGTGTGTGTGTGTGTGTGTGTTTGTTTGTGTGTTTGTGTGTGTGTGTTTGTGTGTGTGTGTGTGTGTGTGCGTGTGTGTGTGTGTGTGTGTGTTTATATTACATTCCTATAATATATAAATACATATATATATACATATATATATATATATATATATATATATATATATATATATATATATATATGCATATATGTTTATAATGTATATATAATACTACATATATGCGTGTGTGTGTGTGTGTGAGTGTACATATACGTGTGTATGTATATATATAGAATATATATATACATATATATATATATACATATATATATATATATATATATATATATATATATATATATATATACATATGTACATATATATATGTATGTATGTACACACACGCACATATATATGTATATCACAATACATATATATGTATATGTATATATGTGTGTGTGTATATATGTACATAATACTACACATATGCGTTTGTGAGTGTGTATGTATTATACATGTGTGTATGTATATATAGGTATATATGTATATATATATATATGTGTGTGTGTATGTATATGTATATATGTATATGTATATATATATATATATATATATATATATATATATATGTATATATATATTTGTGCATATATACATATGTTTGAATATACATATGTGTGTGCGTGTGTATGATGTATAAATAACGCACACATACATACATACATATGTATACATACATATGTATATATTGTATAATGTATAAATGATGTATGTATTAATACATATATACATATATATATTTATTATATACATACATATATATATTTATTATATATACATATATATATATTTATTATATATACATATATATATTTATTATATATACATATACATATTCATTATGTATATATACATATATATATATATATATACATATATATATATATATATATATATATATATATATATATATATATATATATTATACATATACATATATGATTAATATAATAATATAATTTATTATTATCATACATATATGTGTGTGTTAGTGGATGTGTGGATGTGTTTATGTGTGTGCATGATGCATAAATAATATATATATATTTGTATGTATGTTTATGTATTTATGTGTATATTTATATGAATATATATACATATGTATATAGGCATACTGCCTATATACGTGTGTGTGTGTATGTATATATGTGTTTGAATATATGTTTGTGTGTATGTACATGTATATATGTACATGAATATGTATGTATTTATACACATGTATAAATATATGTGTGTGTAATGCATAAATAACACGCACATACATACATACATATGAATATATATATTAATGATGTATGTATATATGTGTATGTGTAAAGGCATAGGGTCTTAACGTTCATAATGCTTTGTGAAGTGAAACGCTGTGCTAAATGCAATAGTACAGCATACCCGCAATTACCAGATATCATTAGTATTGATCTTTTGGTGCCTTGATGTAGTTGAGTGTATGATTTTCGAAATTGATAGTTAAGAGATACGCGGAGTATGCGTGGAAGTGTATATATATATATAGCGTACGGCAGTGTATATAGACTTGTATGTGTGTTTGCACAATAAACTTGGATTTCATCACAGATTGGAGAAAATAATAATAGTAGGAATCATGCTAAATTTATTACAAGAGTTTTCATTTCACCTATACATTGTCCATTAGTAAGTTTATATCATTCCATTTATTCGAACACGATGCCCTCAGCGCGCTGACGCTCAGCGATTTCCAGCAGCTCAAAGACGTGTTCAGGAAGAGGGTGGGGAGTGGGCAGGATGCTGGACTGGGGCTGGAAGCCGTTCTCGTTGGCCACGAAAGAGACAATAGCCTGGGTACCGTCCTCGAGGATAAAACTGCAAGAAATAGGTAATAAATATCTTAAAATGCAGTATGTTTTAGTCTACTTGATACAGAACGCTAAATATTTATAATCTATTCTTAATGGGATATCTTGGCGAATGAACTGCAAATGATTTGCATGTTTATATTTCCACAGTTGTTTTGACCACTTACGTGTAAGATCCCTCCTGGTTGATCTGGCCTTCAGCTCCGATGCTTCCAGAAACGGCTGTCTTGATGCCGTTGTCAGCTTCTAGAGCGTAGGAGAAGGTACCGTCCTCATTGGCTACACGGTCATCACGAAGGAGTTCGACGACTCGCTCCTCAAGCTGAGGGGCGGCAACAGCCACGGCGGCAAGACAGGCAAGAACGATCTGTAAGGAAAAGGCAGTTAATGATGTATGTGATACTCTTCGATAAATGAAACTGCTTGGTTATGCTAAAATTTTCATGTGAGCAAACATTTATACTTCTATATATTTTTATGCGTGTCTGTTTGTGTGTGTCGTATTTAACAACATATAAGTCGCACCCTTTTTTTAATTACATAAGATTAACAGGTTGTGCATGCGAAGGTGGGACCACTCTATTCCCTGAATTTACCCTATATATACACACATATATATACAGTGTATATATAGATGTGTGTGTGTGTTTGTGTATGTGTCTCTCTCTATATATATGTATGTATATATTAATATAAATATATATAAATATAAACATATACATACCCAAACACTCGCACGCACATACGCACGCATACACACATACAAACATACACACACATGTGTGTGTATGTGTATACTATAGATATAGATATATAAAATATACATACATATACATATTTATTTACCATATATACGATGCGGGTTCAAAATATTCATGGAAAAAGTCCATAACTAAAAATCATATGGAAGGATTTTGATTTCAGTGCACCTGAACATTCTTTTATCAATGTGTTATAACGTCTTCAAACATGAACCCTTAAATGCAGGTA